GTCAATCACCACACTCACCACAACAGTCAATCACCACACTCACCACAACAAGCAATCACCACACTCACCACACTCACAACAGTCAATCACCACACTCACCACAACAGTCAATCACCACACTCACCACAACAGTCAATCACCACACTCACCACAACAGTCAATCACCACACTCACCACAACAGTCAATCACCACACTCACCACAACAGTCAATCACCACACTCACCACAACAGTCAATCACCACACTCACCACACTCACCACAACAGTCAATCACCACAACAGTCAATCACCACACTCACCACAACAGTCAATCACCACACTCACCACAACAGTCAATCACCACAACAGTCAATCACCACACTCACCACAACAGTCAATCACCACACTCACCACAACAGTCAATCACCACACTCACCACACTCACCACAACAGTCAATCACCACACTCACCACACTCACCACAACAGTCAATCACCACACTCACCACACTCACCACAACAGTCAATCATCACACTCACCACAACAGTCAATCATCACAACAGTCAATCACCACACTCACCACAACAGTCAATCATCACACTCACCACAACAGTCAATCATCACAACAGTCAATCACCACACTCACCACAACAGTCAATCACCACACTCACCACAACAGTCAATCACCACACTCACCACAACAGTCAATCATCACACTCACCACAACAGTCAATCATCACAACAGTCAATCATCACACTCACCACAACAGTCAATCACCACACTCACCACAACAGTCAATCATCACACTCACAACAGTCAATCATCACACTCACCACAACAGTCAATCATCACACTCACCACAACAAGCAATCACCACACTCACCACAACAGTCAATCACCACACTCACCACAACAGTCAATCATTACACTCACCACAACAGTCAATCACCACACTCACCACAACAGTCAATCACCACACTCACCACAACAGTCAATCATCACACTCACCACAACAGTCAATCATCACAACAGTCAATCATCACACTCACCACAACAGTCAATCACCACACTCACCACAACAAGCAATCACCACACTCACCACACTCACAACAGTCAATCACCACACTCACCACAACAGTCAATCACCACACTCACCACAACAGTCAATCACCACACTCACCACAACAAGCAATCACCACACTCACCACACTCACAACAGTCAATCACCACACTCACCACAACAGTCAATCACCACACTCACCACAACAGTCAATCACCACACTCACCACAACAGTCAATCACCACACTCACCACAACAGTCAATCACCACACTCACCACAACAGTCAATCACCACACTCACCACAACAGTCAATCACCACACTCACCACACTCACCACAACAGTCAATCACCACAACAGTCAATCACCACACTCACCACAACAGTCAATCACCACACTCACCACAACAGTCAATCACCACACTCACCACACTCACCACAACAGTCAATCACCACACTCACCACACTCACCACAACAGTCAATCACCACACTCACCACACTCACCACAACAGTCAATCATCACACTCACCACAACAGTCAATCATCACAACAGTCAATCACCACACTCACCACACTCACCACAACAGTCAATCACCACACTCACCACAACAGTCAATCACCACAACAGTCAATCACCACACTCACCACAACAGTCAATCACCACACTCACCACAACAGTCAATCACCACACTCACCACACTCACCACAACAGTCAATCACCACACTCACCACACTCACCACAACAGTCAATCACCACACTCACCACACTCACCACAACAGTCAATCATCACACTCACCACAACAGTCAATCATCACAACAGTCAATCACCACACTCACCACACTCACCACAACAGTCAATCACCACACTCACCACACTCACCACAACAGTCAATCACCACACTCACCACACTCACCACAACAGTCAATCACCACACTCACCACACTCACCACAACAGTCAATCATCACACTCACCACAACAGTCAATCATCACAACAGTCAATCACCACACTCACCACAACAGTCAATCATCACACTCACCACAACAGTCAATCATCACAACAGTCAATCACCACACTCACCACAACAGTCAATCACCACACTCACCACAACAGTCAATCATCACACTCACCACAACAGTCAATCATCACAACAGTCAATCATCACACTCACCACAACAGTCAATCACCACACTCACCACAACAGTCAATCATCACACTCACAACAGTCAATCATCACACTCACCACAACAGTCAATCATCACACTCACCACAACAAGCAATCACCACACTCACCACAACAGTCAATCACCACACTCACAACAGTCAATCACCACACTCACCACAACAGTCAATCACCACACTCACCACAACAGTCAATCATCACACTCACCACAACAGTCAATCACCCACACTCACCACAGCAGTCAATCACCGCACTCACCACAACAGTCAATCATCACACTCACCACAACAGTCAATCACCACACTCACCACACTCACCACACTCACCACAACAGTCAATCACCACACTCACCACAACAGTCAATCCCCACACTCACCACAGCAGTCAATCACCGCACTCACCACAACAGTCAATCATCACACTCACCACAACAGTCAATCATCACACTCCCCACACTCACCACAACAGTCAATCATCACACGCATCACAACAGTCAATCATCACACTCACCACACTTACCACAACAGTTAATCACCACACTCACCACACTCACCACAACAGTCAATCACCCACACTCACCACAACAGTCAATCACCACACTCACCACAACAGTCAATCACCACACTCACCACAACAGTCAATCACCACACTCACCACACACACCACAACAGTCAATCACCCACACTCACCACAACAGTCAATCATCACACTCACCACAACAGTCAATCACCACACTCACCACAACAGTCAATCACCACACTCACCACAACAGTCAATCATCACAACAGTCAATCATCACACTCACCACACACACCACAACAGTCAATCACCCACACTCACCACAACAGTCAATCATCACACTCACCACAACAGTCAATCACCACACTCATCACACTCACCACAACAGTCAATCACCACACTCACCACAACAGTCAATCATCACACTCACCACAACAGTCAATCACCACACTCACCACAACAGTCAATCACCACACTCACCACAACAGTCAATCACCACACTCACCACAACAGTCAATCATCACACTCACCACAACAGTCAATCATCACACTCACCACAACAGTCAATCATCACAACAGTCAATCACCACACTCACCACAACAGTCAATCATCACACTCACCACAACACTCAATCACCACACTCACCACAACAGTCAATCACCACACTCACCACAACAGTCAATCACCACACTCACCACAACAGTTAATTATCACACTCACCACAACAGTTAATTATCACACTACAGTGTAGTCTGTACATATTTCTTTAGATATAGAGTCCTATTTTATGACGGCACCGTCATCGCGGTGTACAGGTCCGCATTCAAAATGGCAATCTGTGCTGTGAAAGGTTGTGACACTCAAATCAGCAGATTCCTTTACTTCGACTGCCAAGGGTTATATTAAACCAAGGTCATAGAGATCAGCAATAAGCAGAACATAGAGGCTGTCAATTTTTAGCCAATATTTATCGAAGCGGTGTGTGAGTGAAGCAGCGGCAAATAAATGCTAATATGTTATCGACATTTTGTTTTTGGTAGGGACAGTACAGTTAACAATAAACTACATTTTAATTAACAAAAGACAACTGTTAATAAAACAAATATGCTTGGCCTTCATACATATTAATAGCAATAGACCAAAGTCAAAAGTAATAATAAAATTTAATTGGAACATTATTTGATATTTAGATCTAGAATCTAGTTCTAAATCTAATCATGTTGAAAACTAAATTAAATCTAGATTCAGAGTGACTGGCTACGCTAGGTAGATATAGAATCTAGAATCTACTTATTCAATTAAATTTAATTTAATTACAAAATTATATTTGATTCATAAATAATAATTCAATAATTAATTTTAAAAAATAGGCCAAATAATAAAAAATGTAATTATCTGTAAGATCTAGAATCTAGCTCTAGATTCTAATCATTTTATTTAATGAACGAAATTATCTGAAATTGAAATAGATTGTGTGACTAGACTTAGATCTAGAATCTGCTACTTAAGTTAAATTTTAAAAGTAGTTGATATTTTTGGTGTAGAAGGCGGCGGACGTAGGTATCACATGATTTAGGTTGCGTGTTTGCAAGGACTATATTCTAGATGCCCACAGTGTAGTCTGTACATATTTCCCTGCCCACTTTTGTCTATTCTAGTTGCCCACAGTGTAGTCTGTACATATTTCCCTGCACACTTTTGTCTATTCTAGATGCCCACAGTGTAGTCTGTACATATTTCCCTGCCCACTTTTGTCTATTCTAGATGCCCACAGTGTAGTCTGTACATATTTCCCTGCCAACTTTTGTCTATTCTAGTTGCCCACAGTGTAGTCTGTACTGTACATATTTCCCTGCAAACTTTTGTCTATTCTAGTTGCCCACAGTGTAGTCTGTACATATTTCCCTGCCCACTTTTGTCTATTCTAGTTGCCCACAGTGTAGTCTGTACTGTACATATTTCCCTGCCAACTTTTGTCTATTCTAGTTGCCCACAGTGTAGTCTGTACTGTACATATTTCCCTGCAAACTTTTGTCTATTCTAGTTGCCCACAGTGTAGTCTGTACATATTTCCCTGCCAACTTTTGTCTATTCTAGTTGCCCACAGTGTAGTCTGTACTGTACATATTTCCCTGCAAACTTTTGTCTATTCTAGATGCCCATAGTGTAGTCTGTACTGTACATATTTCCCTGCCCACTTTTGTCTATTCTAGATGCCCACAGTGTAGCCTTAAAATATTTCTGCTCTTTAATCTAACCTTTCTTTGCCAGAGCACCAGCACTGTTGAAGATGTTGGTGTCACCTGCAGCAAGTTCACCATCTTTCACCAGCTGATTCCAAAGACGGCTAAGCCCATCTTTTGTGAAGCATGACTGAAAGAGATATCAATTTCAAAAATTTTATTTTTTAAACTTTAAGAAACTTGTAATTGGAAATTAATTGAATAAAAAACTACTTTCATGGATGCAATGTATAAAGCTCTAAGTTGTTAAAACAAACAGGTACACCACACCCCATTTCACTAACATGATACACACACCAACCAATGTAAACATGTTGTCAGATTTTTATAATCAACTTCATAAAATATGACTAACACATTTGGATGATTTGGAAACAAATAAATAAATATTATGGAACCAAACAAAAATTATTTATTTGTTTACAATCTGACCACATCAGGTATGTTAGGGGAGATGACCTGAGTTTTAAGTGACACCTGTGTTGGGCTTGGACAGAATAAACAACTGACCTGGATATCTGCTTTTTGCCAGTTACAGTCAAGCCTAGCTTGTGGCCTGAGATGGGCCTGCTGTATCCAGCCTATACTCATTGCAGGTCAAAAAAACATGCTGTCAAAGGCTCTAGCAAAAATAAAAGTTTCATTCAGATTCTGTTATAACATTATCACACTAGATCAACACATACAATTACACCTACTAGAAATCTAGTTACTATTTTGGACCTGGTGATCCATAGAGCAGATGAAGTAGAGTTCACCTGTTTCAGTGACATGGGCATATGCAGAGTTACTGTGGTGAGCACTATGCCAGGTTGCTTTTTCCAAAACAAATGATACTTATTAACAATTTTAATTATGTTTAAATTTAAAATCTGCATGGAGAAGATCAATGGAGTGAGGCGTAACATTCCAACACGCAGAGGCAATAGTTAGAGGTAGGGAATCATCCATTTATCACATCCATATGTAGGGGGAAGGGTCCCAAAAATAGATGAATGGGCTGAGGTGGGGGGGTGGGGGTCAATGTGGACATCCACATATTGAATTTATCATCAAAATACATTTTAAAATGAACATAAAACTTGTTCCAGTATATTATTAGTAGAATTAAGTGTTAAAAACTAACCCTTTCAATATGTAAATAAATCACCATAGCTACACTGGGGCCATTCATACCATAAGCCTTACCATTTTTACCTCCCCTCTAAAATGTTACAAGTTGTCACCAAAAACCAGAACCCAACATATAAAATGACATTACACCTCAGCCTACCATCTATCTACTACTAAATCCCTCTTGAAATTGCACTTTTAAAAGCAATTTTTCTCTATTGACTAAGCTCAGTAAACATTTTGATCAATTGTTATCAACAATTTAAAACATATATTTTACCAACATGAGATATTGGCTAAAATTTAGTTTCTAACATTATTGCAAGAGGGTGTTTTCACACTTTTGGAAAACCTCTCCCTAATCTTCTTCTTTCAGCCCAGGAAAATAACGCCGCAGTTAGTTTTCAAGAGATTGCCCAGAAATCTCCTCTTTCAAATGTTTTTTAATGCCACACTCAGATTCAACTACCACACTGCAGAGTTTCTAAAACATGGCAATTTTAATTTTTTTCGCCAATTTTGCAGCTTTTATAAAAATGCCCTGAGAGTGAGATTATCATAAAAAGAGAAAATATTTGTTCCTTTTCACTGAATCTTCAGGTTAAGCTTTTGTTGATGTTTGAATATATACTCTATTTCATTAAAGTATATCAAAAGGTCTTATTTCTCTTGCACTTCCAGTCTTTCCATTTAAAAACAGGATATACAACAGTTCTTTTGACAGCCAGAGTACTGTAGTAGAGAAAACCAGAACCTAGTAATTTTTATTCATGTCTTTGCACAGTTCTTTAAACAGATGGGTGTTTAGGTCTCCCGATTTAATACAATTTACAACTTTTATCAGCAGTGGAGTTGGAAGAGTCTTATTGGGGAAGGTATATTCCAGTGAATCATGCAGTAAATTCCCCTTGGTTAGGGAGCTAATTTTTACTTTTTTTTTCTGAAAGGCCAATTTTGACCTGAACACATAGTGCACCATCAACTTTAAAAGCAAACATTGGTGAAAGTTTGATTTCATTCAAAATTTGTTCTTTAACATCTACAAACATGTCTGATATATATGGTTGCACTAAGGATGCGTTTCCTTGATGAAAACTGCCTGTTCAGTCAAGTCTCTGATGTTTGCAACTAGCTTCATGACGTTGTGTGTTCCAAATGAATCGTCTCTAAATGACGTTTTAGTTTTTTTTAAAGTTTCATAGACTCATGACGAGAACAACTTTGCACAGTATGCATTGTTTCTTCTTGATTCTATTTCCAGTGATGTTAGTAAAGAAGAGTTTCAGATTTTCTTCTAAATATTTTTTTCATTGCTAGTTTAACCAGTTGGCGACCCCCAGAAAGCTCTTCGCGACCCAGCTGGGGGTCATGACCCACAGTTTGGGAACCCATGCACTAAGCCTAATCACTAGACTAACTTTGACAACCTAATTTATTCACTATAACTAGGCCTAGGCATATTATTAATTTATTTAGGCTAGGCCTAATACTAATAAATTTATATTTTTACAAATTAGGCCTAGTGTAGTTAGTACAGTTCTGTTAGTATCAGGCAGTATTATTAGGCCTAGAAATAATAGATCTAGATTAGAATCTAGTATTATTATTTATTTATTAGGACCTATGCATTATCATATGCTTGGCTTAGGGCAGAGGATTAGGTTTTTTAGGCCTAAGCTTACACTATTAAACTACTAGGCATGCTGTCCAGCTTCGCTTAGGCTTTCGAAAACATTCAGAATTTGAATGCTTAATTAATTCGCCCGATGGTCGGTCTATGACCTCAGGAGTTATGAAGAGGTTCCTACGTGGACATTTTTTTCCGATTTTTAACTCATATAAGGCGCCTGTCAGTCGAGGTCAGTTTTGACCCCCTCATCGTAGAGTTTTTGGCCAACCGGCCCCCGGGTTCTGTCGCCCCTAGGCAAGATCTTGCCAAATTTGGAGCGCCTGCGGCGCCGGGAAAAGCCCTATCGGACACCCGACAACTTTGCTTTATATATTATAGAGATTAGCAAATTGCATAGATAAAGATTTCATTAAAGTAATTAAGGCCTGAAATACTTTACTATAGAAATGTATTATTTGAATAGATTCTATATCTAGGTAGGGTCTACATCTGTGTAAGTCTAGTTTTTCTGTAGATCTAGATAATCTAGATCTAGAATATCTAGATCTAGAATATCTAGATTTAGAATCCTAATAGAAATTTTTTTTTTTAGTTTAGCCCGAGCAAAATTGTATAGTATAAATTTTATAGCGTACGTAGATCTAAATAATATTTGAATGAAATAGTTCATTTCTGTTTATTCTAAACTCGGAAGATGACGTCGTCAGTTTCGTGCTCTTTTTTTAGTGTTAACAATAAGCGACGTCATTGTTAAATGCGTTCTTGTCCCAAGTTTAAACACTTTTCCGGTTGCATAAATAAAACTGTTTTTCTACATTCGAATATGCCTTTATTTTTAATTTTCCTTCTTTAAATAAAATTGTGGTTATACATTTAAAACATCTAACATATTATTTTCAACAAAAGTCCGTATAAAGTTCTCCATATATCGCTGCAGTTTCTGATGTGATGTCCGGCGAAAATATTTTGCGGACAGACAGACAGAGAGAGAGAGGGGGGGGGGGGTGCGCACAGGGGCTTTTATATATTAGGATTAGATTATCTAATTATAATTAAGTAGGCCTAACTATTATAACTAACTGGAGGTGAACATTAGGCGAAGAGTAAAAAAAATAGTTCAAAATATACGCTAAAATGGAGTTTTACCCATTATATACTATTATATAGGCTACTGAAACCGGTAAAATCACGATATAGTATCGGTTATTATTCCGGAAATGTACAGCAGTAAAAAACAGTGAAACCATGGCGTAGTCTGTAGAGCCGTTCCGGAAACCACCGGAAAAACTGTAAACCATCATTTATTTGCCGCAATATTATTTTTAATAGGCCTACATAATACATAATGTTTTAAAATGTGCAAGGATTGATTTTAGTTGCATTTTATTTTAAATAATAGGCCTACTGTTTTGCTAATTATTTTGTATTTCTAATTATTTTAAGTGTATGTGCTAATTATTGCTGCTACTAAACATTGTTCTAGTTCTTCTAACTACTTTAGGCGCCTAACTTTAGTAAATCTTATCGTCTTATTTTAATAACAGAACTAGAATCTAGAGCTAGACTATTTGTCGCAAATCTTCAGCAGGTTTTTTTCTGTGTTTCTTAAAAAAAGCATTAGACTACACTCGACTTTATTTATAATATTTTAAATTTAGGCCTACTACTACTAGACCTACTTGACAAGTAGTAGGCCTACTTGTTGCTAATTTTTTGTCAATTAAACATTAAATTAAGTTAAAACATTAATTCAATGCACTTGACTCTTCTTTTAATTTTTTATTATTTCAACGGTAGACCCTATATACAGACGATCCTACACTATTCTCAACGACACTGTCATTGAGTGGCTTATCGAAAGTGTCGGTATAGAATAAGCTACAGTTTAACAACGATAGTGTCAACTGAGAAACCACCAAAGGGTTTTATTCTCATCAACACAAACGGAGAGAGGCTCAACGATTCTGTCGTTGAGATGATCCGCATGGGGTGCTTTATAGTACTATATACTACTATCTATTATTATCTATGGTTTACACTTTAGTATTTACACTTTTTTACACTTTACAGTTTTACAGTAACGAATGTTACCAAAACTCAACATTATCAACAAACATTATTACTTCTTAGGCAATCTTAGGGCTTAGGCCTACCCGACCCAATGCCCAATAATTTCCGACGCTATATCGTGATTTTACCCTGAAGCCTAGTCTAGTTCTAAATTTTAGATGAATCTAGATCTAGATCTACTACTCTAGATCTAGATATTATATCTAGATCTAGAATCTAGTACTCTATAGTCTATCAGTATCACGTACATTTATTATTTTTTTCTTACACTGATTGTGTAGTAACGGAAGTAGAATCTAATCAAGATAAACCGGATCAGTAAATCTCTTGCTTGAAAGCAAGAAATCGAAATCTAGATCTAGACTCTAGATCTCTAGGTCCCTAATAGACTAATAGATCTATAAATCTATATAGATCTCTTCTAGCTCTATACGAGATCTATACTAGATCTAGTAAAGTACTAGGTAGTCTCTCTAGTCTCTAGACCAGTGGTTCTTACTATTTCTTTGGCCTAACCTAAGTTCGATCGAACGTGGGTTCGGTGAGTCCGTTGCAGGGGCAGAGGCTTAGCGATGGGGGAGTGGGGAGGTGCGGACCGCACCGGGTGACACATTTTAGGGGGGGGGGGATGACATCACTGAAAAAAAATAGCAAAATATATACAGTTAAAAAATGATTAATTAGAGTTAATTACACTTTAACGAGCGAATTTGATAGAGAAATCAACGCTACATACAGCAGTATTAATAACCGACTATAGATAAACATCGTTAGTTTATCTGAGCACGGTTTTAAATTATCACCGATGAAAGGGGGGGGGGGGGATTACATCAACTAAACGTTACAAACTTTGCCTGGGGAAAAAGGTTTTGTTGTGGAGAGTGACGCCAAATTTTATAATTACCTACAGTAACAAGGATTTTTGCAATTGAATTAATAACAGTAAGTTATGGGGGGGGGGGGGGGGGGGGGTCGTCCATAAATGACGTCATACTCGTAGGGGGAGGGGGGGGGGTCGGTAATTTTGTGACGATGTGTGCTGAGGAGGAGGGAGGGGTTCAGATGGTGCGACGTCACACTTTTGCTTTATAGATAAGAAATGTTAGAAAACGAATTTTAGACGTTATTTTAGCGTTTTAGAAAACAGTTTTAATACATTATAATAGGAATAGATTAAAACAGGGGCGTAGCGAGGGGGGGCGGGGGTGCGGACCGCACCGGGTGACACCATTTAGGGAGGTGACACCAAGGTAAAAAATAGCAAAATATATAGAGAAAAACTTGAGGGGGTGCAAATCGAAAGTTTGAGGGGGGGGGGGGGGGGGTGCAGTTGTTGCTGGTTCCTGTGTTGCTGTCAGGTGTACATTGGGTGTTAATTCTGGTGTTGATGACTGGCAGTGGTTGGTCCAGTGTCTGTCCGAGCCGCACACCTGGCAGGCTTGGTGCCTTCCTGGCAATGCAATGAGGATATTCCGTGTTGTGTCTTTGTATGTAATTTTGATGTAGTGTGGGATGTGTTGTGGGTTGTCGTTCTGGATGGTGAATCTGCGGTTATTTGTGTGTGGGATTGTGGTTATTGTAGGTGTAGATTTGCTGATTGTTTGAAGTGCCTTGCTTAGTGTTTCGTTGCTCATGGCAGGCGGGACCCATCTAAAGGTTCCGATGATTTTGTCTTTGCAGTATCTGTCAAAGTTCATAGTGTATGGACCGTGTGTTTTGGTGGTGCCGTCCAGATCCGCTGCATCAAACTCGTTGGACGAGAAGTATCAAGTATCCCCTCGTCCATAGTTGAGCAGCAAGATCTGGTGTGGGCTAATGATATTTCGCAAGAGGTGCCCTGGGATGTTCTGGTGATTGCTTGATTTGATGGTCACTTGCATTACTGTAGGCGAGTCGAAGAGCTCAGGAGCTATTTCATCAGACTGGTTGATGGTGATTGTTGTCTTGATATCTGAAAAGGTTTGGGCCCATGATTTCATTAAGCCACCCGAACCGTAGTCCGGGTGGGTTGTGTTGTGGTTGTGTTGTGGTTGTGGTTGTGTTGTGGTTGTGTTGTGGTTGTGTTGTGGTTGTGTTGTGTTGTGGTTGTGTTTTGTTTGTGTTTTTGTTGTTTTTTGTTTGTTTTTTATGCTGGAAAGGCTCTATTTGGGCGCGGGCGCCAAGGAAAGCGTGTTGTTAGTTGGTGATTCTAATGTTGTGGTTGTGTTGTAGTTGTGTTTGTGGCTGTGTTGTGGCTTTGTGGCTGTGTTGTGGTTGGGTTGTGGTTGGGTTGTGGTTGTGTTGTGGTTGTATTGTGGTTGTGTTGGGATTGTGTTTTTGTTGTGTTTTTGTTGTGTTTTTGTTGTGTTTTTCTTTGTTTTGTTCTGTTCCCAAGTTGGTACATCTAAAAAAGATTTACCGTGGCGGAGCACGGGTATGCAGCTAGTTACATATAGGCCTATAACGGAAATGAAACCTACGTACTTCATTCAAAATATGTTTTAATAAATATTACTCTGCGTATATAGCCTACACACATTACATTTAACTAGCCGTCCCGGCCAGGCCCTGCTCTGGCTTCTGTGAAAAACCTTTCTGTTAAAGACCATTACCTGTGTGTTTAGTAATCATCATAAACCCGGCATTGCCCACCCAAACCACAACCAACCAAAACCAAAACAACAAAACGCAAACATAACGCTAACACAATTACAAATACAAACGAAAACAAAAACCTAACAACAAACCCAACCACAACCACAAACACCAATACAAACACAAAGAAAAAACAAACAAAAAAGCAAACGAAAACAAAACCTAACAACAAACCCAATCACAACCACAAACACCAATACCAACACAAAAAAACAACGAAAAAGCAAACGAAAACAAACCAAATCCAAACGCAAAACCAACCAAAAACACAAATACAAACCTAAAGAAAAAACACAAACAAAAACGAAAAACGAAAGAACAAAAACGAACCAAATCAAAACGCAACCACTAACGCAAACCCACCTAAACACAAAGAAAACACTAACGCGAACATAAACGCCCGGGGCGGAATCACCTGTTTTAGCTTAATGAACGACTATAGTACCCCAACTTATTCATAGTCTTTTGCACTCACTTAAACGAATGCGCCGAACGCGCCTGTTTCAATTTAATGAACAATTATAATTATAATACTCCAAGCTTATCCGTAAAATACCTACAACATTTGCACTTGATCAATCCCCGCTAATTATGTAATTATTTTTTTTTCCCAACACCAAAACAAAGTAATAAAAAGTAAATTCTTTTCCACTATTGCAATGGTTTTATAAAGGGAAGTAATTGTGTTTTCCTAATTTATCAAAGGGAAGTAAGTGCTATAGGACTAAATATAGACATAATTAGAATTTTTGTAAAAGATGATATTTTTTTAAAACTTGTGTTAAATGAACATGCCGAAAATTATTACTTTCAGTTTGATAAATGAAAATTATTTCCCAAAACTTTCAATATTAATTTTTTAACTCATAAATTTAGACCATAAGGACTTTAATTATCTAACACTTAAATCCATCGAAGTATGTCAACGACAAACAAACAAACTTATTTTTACATACAGAATTGAGCTTTATATATTAGATGATTAATCGTAAGTTGATTTGCACTTTCGGAATATTTAATACCTAATAGTATTAACACATTTCATACAAATATATATTTGTGACTTTTTTCCAGTGACTTTATTCCTGTGACTTTTTTCCTTGTGACTTTTTTTCTACAATCGTGTAGATATACATACAGTGACTTATTTATACGTTGAGCTGGAGGTTTTAAAAGCACAAGCAATATGGTCTATCATTTTAATTTTTTTTTTACATGCAATATATTAGTTTCATGTTTGTTTTTAAATGGTAGTACTTCGATGTTAAATTCAATAAATGGACGTCAATTGGAAGTTTAGACCCCCCCCCGCCCCATCCACACGCGTCCACTTTCGACGACCCCCCCCCCCCCCCACACCACTAACCCCGCTCATTGTGGACTCTACAAAAATTTAGTAGACCTCTCAAAACATGCTGCAACATTACTAAATTATTTAAATGACTCGTGCACATTAACTGATAATGTAATATATGGATTTGATGTTTTCGGTAACATCTATTACTAGGACTAAATAATAATGTCTCGAAGTCTACAGCATGTAAATTTACTGTGATTGTGTGAATGTGTTAAGACTATCTAAATTTGTTCTTTATTGAAAGAGTGATCGCGCTGAAACGCTGTGTACCCTGCCTCTAGATTTTAAAGGGTTTTTACCCACTATTTTTCATAAAGAGTCAGAGTTTGCAGGCAGTTATACATTTTTTTAAAACTGAAAATGCGGTAGACCGAATTTTTACTGTCATTTGTGGCTGTCTAGCTATCAACGACTATTTGGGTTAGGGAAAATTTGGCTAATCAACGTGACGTCATTATATTACTTATACTCAAAATTACGCTGCGTGTATTTCCATGACAAACTGCCTCTCCCCATTTTTTTGTGGTCGCGCTGACCGTGAGCCCTACCAGAGACGTAGCGAGGGGGGGGGAGGGGCGACATATGTTCCCGGGCGTCGACATTAGGGGGGCGCCAAATTGAAAGTTTGAGGGGGGGGGGGCGTGCAAATGAAAAGGTCGAGGGGGTGCAAAGCGAAAGTTTGAGGGCGGGGGGTGCAAATGAAAAGTTCGAGGGGGGTGCAAATCGAAAGTTTGTCCCCGGGCGCCGGGAAGGGTCGCTACGCCTCTGAGCCCTACACACCTGACCAAGCGAGCACATTATACACGCGCTGTTATCTATCTATCTATCTATCTTATATATATATATATATATATATATATATATATATATATATATATATATATATATATATATGTAACTAGGGTAGGCCTAACTACTAGTTACAATCTGATGCAACTGATAACGAACGATAAGCCGCGACGCAGTATTACAGTCTGATGCAACTGATAGCAGGTGGCTTATTGAATCGGACTGATAACAATCTCAAAGCCAACGCGTGCTATTTTGGGAAACGGTACGAGGGGATTCAGACGGCCTGTCAACTTTGAGTGATAGGATGCAGATGTTTTATTAATCGGGCTGTACGTTAGAACTGCGCAACTAGTAGTCGGAGACATCGATTACAAATATCGATTACGGATGAATACAAGTACGAATACGAGTACGAATACAAGGGATAAATAGGAGGGGACGGCGGAGCTCGCTCTCTTTCGATCGCTCGCTTTAGATCAGTCAGTCTGTGTGACAGTTGGTTATAGAACGGGTTAGCC